AACCCTAAACCCTAAACCCTAAACCCTAAACTCTAAACCCTAAACCCTTACCTGACTTAAACCATGCAAAGCCTTTGGAACGCCCTTAGACCCCAAACGCTAGGTCCTAAGACTCTCAAGGCTAGTCCCTAAGTTCCCCCAAACCGGAAGCCCTCTACCCTAAATGCTTTAAACCGAAGGTATCTCAACGCCTAAATACCCGACAAAAATCTGCCCTCAACTTCCCCAACCCTAACTACCCGAATCTTCAAGTATCCTGAACACAAAATCCCCCCCCCCCCCCACCCCACCCAAAAAAAGCAAAAAAACCCTGAATACCCAAAATATTCTAAACACCTTAAATACACCAAATACATCCAAATACCCTAGATCTCCAGACACCCTAAATAGGGGGGGGGGGTGGTGGTGAACCCCGCCCTACCGGCTTAGGGTTTGGGGTTTAGGGCTTGGGGTCTATAGGGGCTAGGGTAGGACCTTGCGCAGACATGCGGCTCGGCTGCCGGCGGGTGTGGAGTCGGTTTCTGGAAGCCTTCGATTGCGCTTTGGGGCCTTGCGCTTCAGGCCCAGGGGGCACCTTCCAGATGTGCCGGCCATTTGAATCCTGCGCCTGCGTGAAATTGAGCTTCCCCAACGCCAGGCCCACCGGGGTGATGCATCGGGGATCCAGGAAGGGAAGCCGATTTTTGATTCCCTGCACCCACTTTAAAGCGATGTAGCCAAAGTAGCCTTGCTCAGCAAGCCTCAGCCTTAAACCCTAAACCAGTCATGCCACCTTGTACCCTGATGCCCCGAAGCCGATGAGGTTCAAGGGAGGCTTGGATCAGAATAAAGCTCCAAGGCTCCAATTCCGACTTGCGAGCATTAGGTCTCCGGACTCAGGGTTAGGGTTTACGGTTTCGAATTCAGGGTTCAGGGTTTAGGGTTTTAAGGTTTCGGGTTTAGGGTTTACGGATTTTTAAGTTTAGGGTTTAGGGTTAAGGTTTGGCGTCTAGCACCAAGCCCTAAGCCTACTTGCAGGCCCTGAACCCTAACACCTACACTCTCAAACCCTCAACCCTAAGCCGTAAACCTTATACCCGAAGGCCAAACCCAAATGGTTAAACCCAAAACCCTACAACCCCAAAACCCCCAAACTAAAACTAGGTAGGGTTTGCGTGTTAACGTGCCGGCCGGTTAGCACGTAATCCGTTTTCCACGTATGTATTTCACGGCTCTGAGTACACATGTTGTTATTGGTGTTGCACATGCCCTGCTTGCTTGGTTTGTCACACGACAGCTAGTCAAGCAAGGGTTTCAGGGGACTGGAAGCTTGCTCTGGATCTGGACACAGGAGATTTTCCTTCTCAGAAAGCTCGCCAGCGGTGACTGCCTTAAACAGTCGCGGGGCCCCTCTGTACACCCCAAGTCGCTGCTTTTGAAGTATCAGAACAAGCACCGGCACAGCTTTTGACACATCAAACAGGAAGAGTGCCTTGCGTGATTCATGCTGCAATGCGCCACAAAGCTTCCGGGACGTTCTACTCCCCCCAAACCCCTTCTAGATTCTACCCAGCGCGAATCCAGGTCTGCGCAGGCATCGCAAGAGCACACTAGTCACTGTCTATGACCTAGCCCCTAAAAGCCGACTACCGTTCAGGGCTTGAGGATCTCACCTGCCACCGTTTGAAAAGCCTGGAAGCAGTACCTATGTAGCCTCTGTAAGGTTTAAAGGTGAAGGGTTTAGGTTGCATTGCTTAACCTTGGAACCTTCTCGGGTTTTAAGGTTTAACCCCTCCTCAGTTGTTGTTGGCAACCGTTTCCTTTTTCGGCATTTCAGGGACTGTAAGTTTCCAATCAAGGTTTTGGAGGGTCCAAAGTCCGGCCTAATGTCTAGAAGCAGGAGTCAGCCTGTGGTTTTGGGCAGGCCACACTAAGCTTGCCACCGTTTCAGTGGCCTGGAACCTGTTGTTAGCTTGCCGCCGTTTTAGGGGCCTGGAACCAGTGCTCAGCCTCTGTTTTGTTGTATGGTCATGGTTTTGGGCAAGCCACAAAGCACCTTTCACACTGCATATCATTTAAGCTTGCCACCGTTTCAGTGGCCTGGAACCAGTACTTAGGCTCAGCGAAAGCAGGAACCAAAGCGAGCGTGTGTTTTGGCGGGTTGTGGATTTTTTTGTTTGTCGTCGTTTTAGGGGCCTGGAACCAGTACCCAGGCCTGCTTTGTTGTTTTGTCACGGTCTTGGGCTTGCCACAGCGCCTTTTAGGGTTTAGGGCTGCCGTGCAACTTCTCCTTTTTGGGGCTTGGGCCTGTTCTGGGCCTGTTCTGCGCCTGCAGTCCAGGAATCCAGACTTTGAACCCTTTTAAATGCCTGGAACCAGCACTCAGCCTCTACTTCTAGGGTTTTGGGCTTGCCACACAGCACCTTTTAGGATTGAGGGTTTGCCAGCCAATGTCTTTACGGAGGTTTGCCTTCTCCCATCGGCGTTTCAGGGGACCCAAAGTCAGAGATAGCACACGATTGTATGGAGAAACCAAAAGCTCGCCTCCGGGATTCGAACCTGGACATGAGCGGTCGACAGCCCAACACCTTAACCGCCCGACCATTGGTGCTCCTTACTGCCATAGTCTTTCTAGCAATTAAAACCAATGGAAGTGACTTCCCCACCAAGTAACCCTAAGCCCCTATCCTAAACCTGAAGGCTAAGCCCTATCTCAAGGGTTGATTGGATTTGTGCCTTGCAAGGTATCTGGACTTAGGGTTTCAAGTGGTCTTGCGATGCTCTTGCCCAGACGGCCGTGTCTGGAACTCTTTGGAGACTCATGAACGCCTCTGGACAAGAAAACAAGCAGGCACCAAAAGTCGTCGCCCTTGGAGACTCAGTCGTCGGAGTCTGAGCAACTCTCTGCTGAGGAACTGGAGCTGCTGGAAGTGGAAGCGGAGCTTGCCGAGCCCAGCGAGGGTGCGTCTGGAACTGGATCCGCCTGGAAGCGTTTTGGGATACTTTTGAAGGTACTGAAACACTGTTTGGGCCATGCTTTATAGGGGGTGAAAGGGACTGAGAGTGAGGAAGGTGTTTAGGCGGACAGCGCCTCGAAATCCAAGCCAGCTTCCATTGGCCTGGCGTCTGCGTCATCCGAAAGATCCTCCTTGTCACTGTCGGCCTCCATGTTCCAGTCCTCGTCATCCCAATGTCCGGCGCGTGTGTCGCAGTGCTTCCTCTTCTTGCCGCACGCTGCGAGTTTGCGGTACTTGTCGCAGATCACTGCGCTGGCAACCCGCGCATCCCAGGAGAAGTTGTTCTGAAGCACATTCCCGGTGGTGAACTTGACCAGGCCATTGATCCTTTCGGATGCGCTTTGCGAAGGCACACAGCCTGCCAGGAATTCAAAGGCTGTTTAGGGTTCTATTTGTGTGTTTCAAGGACTTGAAACGCTTTCAGGTGTAAGGTCAGGTGTAAGGTTCAGGGCATTCTCAAGGACGGTGAGGGACGAGCCTTTCTTTTCTCTGTTTCAAGGAGTCGAGAAGCTTTCTGCTCGCCAAAACCGTCGCATGCACCCGCTTAGAAGGTTTCTGTGCAAGAAGCGACTTGCAAGCCATGCCTCTGGCCAGAGCCCTCACGAAAGAGCATGACAGAAGACCTTCATTTCTGACTTTCAAGGACCTAAAAAGGCTGTTTGAAGCAGAGTTTGCTTTACAAGGGGCACGGGGGCTCAACACATGCCATTTCTGTGTTGGAACACCCTAAAACACCACCTGCCGGTTTGGGTTTAGGTTTGGGGTTTAGGGTTTCGGGTTTAAGGTTGAGGGTTGAGGGTTTAGGGTTTAGGTTTAGGTTTGGGGTTTAGGGTTTCACGTTTAGGGGTTGAGGTTGATAGGGTGTACACCAGTCCAGGACCGAGCTTTCAGGGCCTTAAAAGCTTCCGTTGATGGCTCTGGCGCCCTTTCAGAAGCTGCCCAACCTAGCGCCTCTTTGCGCAGCGGTTCTTGGGGGCTGGATTTTTGGCAACCCTAGGGGTTCTTGGCTGCTTCTGCAAGCCGCTGAGAAACTTACGCTGCTTCAGAACACGCTGTCGGCGACTGGAGGGCGCCCTGTGCATCACTGCGAACTTGGCCTGGTAAAGCTCTATGACGCGGTGGCGGTCTGCGGCGCATTGCAGAAGCTGGATTGCGCTCGCCGACATGCCATCCGCAAGGTGTCGCAGCTGCACAAGGTCCACGCGACACACGCTGCTAGCACCACGGTGGTTGGCAAGCTTCTCTGCTGCAGCGATGATCTCGATCATTGCTGCTTCGGCCGCCGTCTGCAACGCCGCCATGCCCTTCATCTTTATGGTCAGGTCATTCCACTCCAACCCGTTCTCCTCGCAAAGACATGCTAGGATGGCTCTGACGAGGTTCCGGAAGTGCTTGCCCGGTATAGCGTGCTTGCCGGACTTCTGCTCTGTTTTGATCTCCTGGTCGGCGATCTCTCCTTGCTTGTATCCGCTTCTGGCTGCAGGCGCGGCCGCTGCCGGTTTTTTTTTGGGCGGCATGGCTTGAGCCAGGCTTCCCGATTACGCGCCTGTTTCGCAGCATGCTTTGCGCATGCCTTCCAACGCAGAAAAGCTGCAAGAATGCAGACATTACGCAGGGCCAAGGCGGCAGGGTCGAGGACCCAATGCGGGACAAACACCGAGAGCGGACACGACACACGTGGGCCCAAACGACCAACCGCTGGCACAGGCCGAGGCGTGAGAAACATGAGCCACACAACCCTAAAAAACTCCATGACCGGCCGCAGCCAGGCGAGAACAGCATTTCCCGACACCCCAGACCGTAAACCCAACAAGATTTACAGAACTCGAAAGTGTCATCCCTCGCAGGAAAGCAAGCCTCCGTCCCGAAAAAGAACCGAAAACCCTCAAACCAAAACCGTCAACCCTACCACAGGGCCGCCAACGGCTGTGATTGTTTGGGTTTCG